TTAATTCAATTAACACTTTGAAGCTTAAATAATACATGTAAATTACGAAACTATTTCCGTTTCTATGCAGCGTTCACTTCCTTCCAGCACCTGACACCAGAGAACGTTTACGTTCTCTGATCAGAAGAAGCAGCAGCTGTCAACGCATATATGTAAACATGAGGAAAATACGTCTATTTATTTATTTGACATGAGTGCATTGGGAAATGAGGATAATCCTGCGGAGCTGACTGAGACTGATGAAGATAAGCGTCCAAAATTTGGAAATCGCTTCCTGACTGATGACAATGATGTCTTTAAGCACAATGCTTGGTAAATATCTGAAGTTTACATACAATTTTACTTTGAAATGCCGTCAGTGCTCAGAGTGGGAGCACACGCGCTATCGGAAGAAACCAGCTGCTGGTGGTAGATTCTTAAACAATCCACGTGATGTATATGAATTTAATGCTTGGTATAACTTTTTAATTATCGTACTACTAATCATATTATTCGCTTATTCTTAACCATCCACAGGGACAATGTGGAATGGGACGACGAGCAGGAGCGTGCAGCGCTTGCGGCGGTAAGCAAAAATTCCACTGAGAAAATGAAAGCGGAAGATAAGGAAAAATTTCAAACTGATGCCGATAAGTTTTGGGATTCTTTCTATGGCGTGCATCAAAACCGTTTCTTCAAAGACCGTCATTGGTTATTTACGGAGTTCACAGAACTTGCTGCGCCGCAGACAGATAAAGTGGAAGAACCCAGAACCATATTCGAATTGGGCTGTGGTGTGGGAAACACTATATTACCTATATTGAAATATAGCCAAGAGCCGAATTTAAAAGTTTATGGCTGTGATTTTTCTGCACGCGCTATTGAAATACTACGCACGAGCAAGGAATATGATTCCAAACGATGCGAAGTGTTTGTCATGGACGCTACCCTTGAAGAATGGCAAGTTCCTTTTGCTGAAAACTCATTGGACATAATTGTGCTTATTTTTGTACTATCTGCAATTGAGCCGGCGAAAATGAAACTTATTGCTGATAACTGCTTCCGTTACTTGCGACCAGGCGGCTTGGTGCTTTTCCGTGACTACGGGCGTTATGATATGGCGCAGTTGCGTTTCAAGAGCGGAAAATGTTTGGAAGATAACTTCTACGTGCGTGGTGATGGCACAATGGTTTACTTTTTTACCCAGGAAGAGGTGCGAGAACTCTTTTGTAAAGCTGGTTTCGTAGAAGAGCAAAGCATTGTGGATCGACGATTGCAAGTCAACAGGGGTCGAATGCTTAAAATGTATCGGGTCTGGATACAAACGAAATTCCGTAAGTCGGTGAAGGAAAATTAACAACCCTCCGAAATGCCGAAATCCGAGATTTCCTTTTATATACTGCTCAAAGGTTGAACCTTTAATAAATTAAAACAAAACAATAAATAACTATACATATAATCTATTTCGTGCGTTTAGCTGTCAAAATGCGAAAGTTAATGATCAAGCGTAAACTCTGCATAATTTCAGAAAATATTTTCGGAAATAAAAATTGCAAAAGTTGCACCTGAAAACGCAAATCGCTTTCTAGAAATAATTTCAACTTGCTTGTACACTACCATGTCTAATCGCACTTTATCAAATTTTCATTTCTGCTAAAACGCTGTCCGCTGTCAAATCTAGCGAGTGTTGCCGTGTGACACAGTTTATGGCATATTTGCAAAGAACGTAAATGTATAAGAAAGAACGTAACTCTATTCATATATCCATCTCTATGTATGAAGCTGAAATTAGTCGAGAACGCAGAACGTATACTTAAACGCAGTCTGTATACGCAGAATTTTGTCGATTACTGGAGCCCTCAGTGTTGCTTACTACACTGTTGCCACTCATCAATGCCTTTTCATAAACTTACCCTTTCAACTACAATTTTTCGTGCTATAATAGATTTTAGCTAAATATAAACTACTTAGTTTTCAACATAAACCTTATTCAATAGTAAATTTCAAATATTTTAAACATATTTTGAGTAGGAACTTATATCTTTTTTACCATCTGTAAAACTGACGAACTGGCAACCATCTAAAGAAGGAGAAATCAGCTGACACGGAAAAATCTAAATTCCGCAGATTTCTGCGCTACGGGCTACAACTACAGAAAAATTCTGCGGTGTTGAGTTTTCATTTACATGGCGCTTTGGTAAGACAGATCGTGTCAGCTGACTCGGGTTTACGTACCGGTAGGTTTACGTTCTTGACTAATTTCAGCTTGAGATATCTATCATATGTATTCATACGAGGTGGGGTCAAATTTACGTGTTTGTTGTACATTCGTGGTAATTCAAGCTTTCATTGTAAGCATAATTTGTCATTGTAATTTTAGTTTTTGCTCTATTGGTGCCACCTTGTATAAATTTCTATTCAGCCAACCTCACCGAAATCAAAGAACGTAAATTTACGTTCTTTGTTTTAGATTCACCTTCTATGGTACTTTGGGCACAATTGTAGCCAAACGGCAACGCTGACTGCCAGTGTTGTTCGATAATGACGAAAAGCGAAAACCTGATAGCAAAATCCGAGTCAGTTTTCGAGTGAATTTCCAGGTAAACGGGGTTTGACTGCGGCAAATTGTTTGCAGCGCCGCGTTATTGTTGTTGCTCTTTGTGTGATTGGGAAAAAATTTCCATAGATAAAATTATTGTATCTAAAATTTACAGTGCTAAATCATAAATAGAGCTGAAAATTTGTAAGTGCTAAGTGTTAATTCACAAGGGCGGTGGCTGCAAATTGACGAATTCGACTTAAAAAGCAATTTATGTGTGGAAAAATTGATGAAAAAATGTGGTAGAAGACGGGTGATTCACACACATCCATATACAAATACAATTGCACACCTGCGAATGTGGTGTACAAAGTACAACAAAAAAGAAATGTACCGAAAAGGGAATTGTCACAACTGCATTCGAAATAAGTTACAAATTATTCTAAACGCGATTGGATTCTTGTTTAATGGAAAAATGGATACTTCGCGCTGTTAGAAGACGCGACAATGGAAAATCTGTGAAGTAAAGAACTGAATCTTGTTTGATTTTGTTCAAGTTCCACAACTGTGTGAAAATTGGAACGTGCTACATTTTTGTGCATATTTTCCTACAAACTGCAGTGAAAAATCAAATAAACGAAAAGTAAATAAATGTGAAGAGCACCAGAGAAGTGCTATAAAACAAAAGTGAAAAATTTAAAATCATAAAAAATATTCAATAAGATTATTTCCCATTTATCGTTTATGCCTTCAGTTTACGAAAAATTTGTTATGTGAAAACTGTTCGCGAAAAATGTCAAATTTGGAGTGAATAAGTTCATGTCGAAAAGACAGAAAATCAAAAATAAAAGCAAGGCCGTAAAATGTGCGAAGAAAATCGGGAAAATCATGCAAAAGAAAAATTAAAAAACAAATAGAAAATCGTCGACAAAACATCATTTAAACTTGGTTTTTATTCCCACCTGCTTACAGCCGATTAATATTACTTATTTAATTAATCAGCTGCCTATCTGGTTACTTCCCATTATTACGTTTCTTACACCTTTGAAACTATATTCATCACGAGTTCCTTGGTATTTGAACCTAATTTATGTGTGCAAGGCAATGAATTACAACCACAACAACCAAATCTATTGCTGCACATGAATAATAAAAAAAAAAAACAATGGTATAAGAGCTGCAGCAGTAGAAGCAGTCCGCAAAGTGGACGTCGGGGCGATTGCAGTAGGAAAAAAACCAGCGTAAACTCCTCAATCGCAACCACTAGCGTCACTATCGTCATACACTTGAATGTGTGAGGAGCAATTCTGGAATTGGATTTCAGTTTCGGCTTTATTACCAGTTTGCTTTAGATACATCCATACATACATATGTATTTTCTTTCCGGTCTTACCTGAACGCACCGACCATTGCGTTCTACCTGCTCGTCGTACTCTTGCTTGATTCTCGCATTCTTTATACACGCATACATTTCACATGGTGGAATTATACCATGTACATTTCATAAATTAATTTTTCATTTCTTTTGTATAACCATTTTTTTTTTCGTTTCAATATAGAAACCTGAGTGTATTTGAAATATCTCCTAAACCCGCCTGCATTTTGTGTCGGCGGTTGTGTTGTACCCCACCAAAAAACCAGGAGTAAGAAGTACATACATACATACATATATGAGTACACTTTTTTTTAAATTGTGTTCAAGACCTGCAAAACTCTTTCGTTTAAGACTAATAAAGTACTTTTCCATAGAGCGCTGAGTTAGAAAATAACGAAAGCAACCAAACAAAATTTCGGATCTAAAATTCATTTTTGTGGATTTACTGCTTGGGGTTGAGAACTAATCGCAAAACTGGCGGAGGAAGCAGCAGAAAGCGCCAACAAGATGAGTTGGGGAACGCAACTTTGGGTGAGTACCTATTTGAAGTGTTTTAAAATTGTTGCGAACGAATAAAATCCTAAACGGGTTTTTATTCCCAGAAAGACATCCTGTTGCTTACTTATATGTAACACATCATGCATCATGTGAGCTTAAGCTCCGACTCGTTTTTCAGTACGAATTCTCGAGCTTAAGCTCACTTTATCAGCGCAAAAACTGAGTTTGAGACCCATATATATTTTTACAATAAGATGACCCTTGTATGTACATATCCTAAACTTAGGAGTGTTAATCATTTTTTGTTAAGACCTAATTGTAAATGCTAAGTATGACATAGCTTGGTATGGTTTGTAGGCGTTGGAGGCCCGGATTTATTCAAGTTCGGAAACAAAAACCAAAAAGGGAATAAGGAATATCAAACTCAGATTCCTAATTTCCCCAAAATGTTTAATAGCATGATAATAAATTTATTGTTAATGATTATTTCTTGCCTACAAAACTCCTACTTATTTGACAAAATTTAAATTTTAAATAAAACATTTGAGTTTAAGTTGGTTTTCATCACTTTTAACACATTCTCTTTCTATAGAAACAGAATTACGTTTAATGACACTCCATAAGACCAAATAAATTATGAGACACAAATTGTTGGCTATCCACGCTATGGCGTCGACGCTCGTTAATTGGCTACAAACGACGAGGAGACGCGTCAGGCCGGTCAGTCGGGCAGCACAAGGTAGTTTGTATTGCAAACCAAGAATGGCCAGCAACTGAGTACAGGCCGCAGGGTACTTAAACGTTCTTTATTCAAAAGATCGATACAAAAAAAAAAAAACAGGGAAACGAATCACGAAAGATATAAAAAATAGCTAAAAGTCAACAACAACAAAAAAGTATTGTGAAATAAAAAATAACTTTGCTAGGCAAACAAATATGGAGTTAAAAATTTCTTTAGATTTGAATAGCCGTGGGTATTCTGCCGGTCTGTAATGTGTTTTGCATGCCGGTATTAGCATTTTTGGCCCGTGGGCAGGACTTTGTTGGCACTGCTTCCCATTCTACGTTTCTTCGATTTTTTTTTTTTAATTTCGTTTGGTTTCGCTTGTGTATTTTTTTTTTGCAATACTTAAGAATTATAAAATAATTTTGCATGTGTGCTTTAAGCAGCAAGTATATAGTATATAAAAATATACATATTTTCATTGGCTTTTAGTTCGCTTCATTTGTGGCTAAACTGGTTATGTGGCTTTTATGTAAATCTGCTTGCCGTCTGAGCCATAAGTGGCTGGCTGCTTGGCATTTAACAGTGTCTCTGACGTGTTTTATGCTGCGTCGCCTGTCTAAAATTTTTATTACCTGCCTTCGCGTTCTTGGCCATATTTTTGCTTTCTTTCCTTCCATCGCAAAACGTGTTCTACGTTAATGCAAATTAACGTTTCTTATAATAAAAGACAATGTTGACTATTTTTGAATTTAACGTTCAAATTAGTTAACTTTCTTTTCAATTGTGTACATATTTCACTATTTAATTAATTGCGCACACAGTTATTGTTTGAAAAATATTCGCGATCTCTTTCACAGCGCCACTCCCGCGTCGTTTGCGTCGCTAATTCCCTGCCTAAGTATATTGCGCTTTCATGTCATCTACTCCCTCCAGCTCACGTGACTCACCCCTATTACGCTGCCCGCATTTCCACTCAACTTGTTTCGGTCGCACACAACTGGCTGCCTAGCCTGGTTGTCCGGTTGCCCGCCTACCTAGCTTGCCTGCCTAGCTGCCTGCCGTGCGCACATTTATTCCATCTTGCTGGTCAGCCTTTTCATTGTTCTGAGTAAGTTATCTGCTGTCTGCCCCTACCGTTGCTGCTGCCTGCCTCCATATGCCTGCATTTGGGGGTTGTTTACTTCCGTATAGCTTCTCCTATGTGCATTGTGCGTGTCTGCAGTGGGTAGTGTCTCTGCATGTCGCGCGTCACAAGCATTTCCAACATTCCATATGGTTTACCACTCGTCTAGACTATCTGA